CTCTCTCTCAAATAAATAAATAAAATCTTAAAAAAAAAAAAAAAAAGGAAAATGTTCTGAAACTGACTGTGGTGATGGCCATACAACTCTATACAAAAAACCTTTGAATTATATACTTTCAATGCCTAAATTGTATACAGGATATGGACTGTATCCCAGTGAAGTTGTTCTTAAAAATTTTCATAAACAGGGGTGCCTGGGTGGCTCAGTCAGTTAATCATCTGCCTTTGGCTCAGGCCACAATCCCAGGGTCATGGGACTGAGCCCCACATTGGACTCCCTGCTCAGCGAGGAGCCTTCTTCTCCCCCTACTTGTGCTCTCTCTCTCTCTGTCAAATAAATAAACAAAACCTTTGAAAAAAAAAAGAAAAAAAATTCTTATAAACTATAAAGTGTTCCAAACACACAAAAGAATATACTGAACTGGTCTACCCATGACCCAGCTTTAATAAATTTTGCCGTATTTGATTCAGGTATTTATTTTTTAGATTTTAGTTTATTTCAGAGAGAGAGGGTGTGAGTGGGGGAAGGGGCGGAGGGAGAGGAGAGAGAGAGAATCCCCAGCAGATTCCATGCTGAGCATGGAGCCCAACATGGGGCTTGATCTCAAGACCCTGAGATATGACCTAAGCTGAAATCAAGAGTCAGGCACTTAACAAATTGAGCCACTCAGGCCCCCTTGCCTCAGATATTTAAAAGAAAAATTATTATTCATGGATGTGTAACTCATTCTGTCCATCCCACACCCTTTCTTTTCAAAGGCTCAGTATTTAATCATGATGCCTCGATTACGTTCACCCCGTATGTATGCATCCATTAACAATTCATGTTTATTCTGCTTTAAACTTGACATAATGGGAATTACACTGTATGAATATTTTCTTGAGATGTAATTCATATACAGAAAATTCACAGGTCTTACATTTACAGTTGGATAAGTTCTGACAAACATATGCTACCGTACATATTTCTTTTATTTTGTTTCTTTGGCTTAATATTATATTGTGAGGTACATCCAGTTGTGTACAGTTTTGCCATTTTGCTGAATGGTAAAACTCACTGTACAGATTCTTCGACATATTCTGATGAACATCCAGTTTTTTCCCCCAAGGTTTTACTATTTTTTAAGATGTTTCTATCAACATTCTTATACATGCAACATTCCTGTAGACAACGCAAGGGTTTTTCAGGAGTATATTCTTAAGAATGAAAGTGCTAAGTCACAGTACGTGCAAATCTTAAACTTTATTAGATACTGCCATATTGTTTTCCAAAGTGGTTGTACCAATTTATATTCCCAAAAGCAAACTAGAAGAATTCTTGTTGCCAAGAATATATAGTCTTAACCAATATTTGGTATCGTCAGAATCTTCAGTTTTTGCAAGCATAAAAGGTATGAAATTAAATCTCATTATCGTGATTTTAATTTGCATTTCCTCAATTACTACGAAGACTGAAACCTTTTCTTATATTTTTTAGCCCCATGGATTTCCTCTTCTGTATATTTTCTCTTCATGTCCTTCATACATTTTTTTTCAACTGGGTTCTTTAGCATACTAATAACTATACCAAAGTATTTAAATAGTTTCAAGTCTTTTGACTTGAAACCTTATTCTAAAGAGCTGTTCTAAATTATGCTCCCAACAGGAGTGAAATTTAATAAATATGACAAATGAAAACTGACATTTTGACTTCATTTGTATTTCTTAAAATTTTTAGAAAGACTGAATAGTTTTCACAAAGTAATGATATCCCCTGCATTGTGAATTGTTTATTTATAGCCTTTGCTCACTTATCTATTAGTGTCACAGTGGGGTTTGAAAAAAATGAATTTGTATGAGATTTTAGAACATAAAAGATATATATTTTGTCATATTTGTCTTACTGTCCTAACCTGCCTTTCTTTTTTATTATTATTAAGTAAACTCTACCTCCAACATGGAACTCAAACTCACAACCTCGAGATCAAGAGTTCCACATTCTACTGACTCAGCCAGCTAGGTGCCCCATGTAATCTGCCTTTTAAATTTGTTTAACATGACAAGAACTTCAAACTTAAAATTACTCAAAATTATGTCTTCTCTGATTTTTTCTCATTTTTTTTAAACTTAGGAGGTCTTCCCCTATCCACTGTCCAGGGTTTTTTATTTAATTTTTTTCATCTATCTGGACATGTGATATATATTGTCAAAATGATTTCATTCAGTAACAAACCATTTACCCCACCAGTGAATATCTTAGTTTTAAAGAAAGAAAGAGCAGAAATGCCACTACAGAACTACTTATATTTTAGATTGAATGGCTATTTAAATCACAGAGTGGGTTTTCTTTGGAGGCAGAAGGGTCATAGTAAAGTAAAAAAGCAAGATAATTTGGTCAGAGTTAAGATTATGAAAATTTCCTCCCTTGTGAATGAGTTGAAACAAAGTAAAAAATAAGTGGACTTTCAAACTACAATGGAAAACAAATTTCATCCTCAAAAGACAAAAATCACATAAAATGTATACTTTAGATCCATATTATAATCTATTAAATAGAAACAAAATGGGGATGATGAAAGGTCAGAAAAAGATAACCACCATGGAAGAGAGGGAAAAACTACAGAAAATACAGTAAAGAAAAAGAAAAATAGCAAATATAAAGAGTATCAGTAGCAAAACCTTTTGTTTTTCTACTTGTAACTAAAGTTGCAATGCTGCTTTGTTTGTTTCAAAAACCCAAGTATTCTTTTTCCTGAAACCATTAGAGGAGCAACTAGGAAAAGCTATAAAAGCCTTGGGTGGTAGAGGACAAATAGTTCTTGAGTTGTAATATACTCTGGACTCAACAGTAACCATCTAATAAAATAGCCTGAATCCAGGTCTGATTCATTTTTGAACCACCATATCAAGAACATTTATTTCACTCAATAAGTATTTGTTAAATGGGTATTACTTTACTACTTAATCTACATTTCTATTCCTGCTCCAGACTGTTAAAAATTAAACATCATTTAGTTTACTCTAATTTTGATAATTATTCTTGCAAGCAGTGGAATAAACAAATCTGAATTGCTTTCATTTCCATTAATACCTGGACTATTAAACTTTCTAATAAATAAAAAAGCCCCTAAGCTTCCTGTCATAATGAGGGTTTATAAAATCATATCTAGGGTGCTATACTTGAAAAATCAAAGAGCTTACCTTACTAACACCAACTTCAGGGATTCGGAGAGTATGCTCCATATCTTTTTCTCTGCAGAGTTAAGTAAAGTGTCTTTAATAATTTTTGAACCATATATAGATTAAACACAATTAACACAGAAATGGTATTTTTTAAGATTTTGTCATTGTTGTTTTAAAAGAAAATGTTAAAATGCAAGTCCCTCTATCACACTTAAGTCATTTCCTTAATCCTACTCTAAATTTCCTGTTTGAAAGAAGTTCCAGGATTACTTTTATTTTTTGATACATCTACCCCAGGTTAATAATAGACATCTAGGGGTGCCTGGGTGGCTCAGTCAGTTAAGAGTCCAACTCTTGGTTTCGGCTCATCATGAGATTGAGCCCCAAGTCAGGCTCCATGCTTAGTGCAGAGTCTGCTTGAGATTCTCCCCCTCTGCCCCATACTCACATGCTGTCTCTCCCTCTCTAAATAAATAAAAATCTTTATAAAAAAATAATAATAAACATCCAGAACAGCATATCCTTTGTACTAACATCAATCATTCCAGATCTGTTGACTACATTCTCCCTTCTATTACTATATGTAAAAGGACCATACTATTTTCAAGAATTTAAAACTAAGATTTTGTACAGAACATGAATTATTTTCTTTCCCACTGGGAAGTAATGAAATTATCCTACTCATGATTAAAACCTACCTCTCTACCAAGCTGGTTATGAATTACAAAGGGGTAAAAGAAACATCGGAAGGGGATTAAATACTGGACAAACACTGGATTTAATGAAGGAATTTAAACCAGAAAGGGCAGTACAAAAGGATGAAAATGACAAAATTTCTGTGACAGAGATAAGGGTCAACAATATTTTCTGAGTGGGAGAGGGAGGAACATGGATGTCATTCAGTGTCTGCCTATTCAACAAGTACCATGCACATTTTATAACTGGTTGAGGAATATACAATCCGTTGGAGTAAGATAAATACACAAACATAATAACATTAAACATTTTTACCTTCCAATTGTAGCAGGGTTTACAGCTGTAATGATAAAAAGTGATCCTGTCTGCAATACTGGTGATCTAATAACAATTACTCTAATACAGGGGGGCCAAATTTTTTCTTCATCTGTTAAAGAAAGAAATGTGTAAGTATTAATTCAAATGCTATGGAAAAAATTTCTAGGCAGGAATAGGAAGCATCCATAAAGTAAAATGTATTGAGGGGTGCCTGGGTGGCTCAACCAGTTTAGCATCTGACTCTTGATTTTGGCTCAGGTTGTGATGTCAGGGTCATAAGACTGAGCCCGTGTAGGACTCCACATTCAGCATGGAGTCTGCTTGTCCCTCTCCCTCTGCTCCTCCCCATACCCCTGCTCACGTGCTCTCTATTGCTCAAATAAAAATCTTTAAGATAAAAAAAAAAGTACAGATCAAAAATCTTAATTATTTGAAACAACCTTCTTAAATTCTGCTATATGACATACTTGATAAGGCTTTAACACTTACCAATTTAAAGTGATCAACCTAAAGATATTCAGGGTCTATCACAATTACAATATAAACAATTCTCTCTCTTTTTTAAGGTGTTGGAATTTGAAAATATCCTAAACAGGAATTTTTATATTAACTCAGAAAAACTGAGTCCTGCTTTAAAAATAAAAGTGAGAGAAACTTCATCAAGAACAAAATAAGCTCATATAACCTAATATAAAATCCTGGGCTTTAAAAGTATGTCTTTACAACCTCAAGTTTAAAAAATAAAAGATTTGGGGTGCCTGGGTGGCATAGTCAGTTGAGCACCCGACCCTTGTTTCAGCCCAGGTCGTGATCTCAGAGTCGGGAGATCAAGCCCTGCATCAGGCTCCACACTCAGTGTGGAATCTGCTCCAGATTCTCTCTCTCCCTTCTGCCCCTCTCCCTGCTCTCTCTAAAATAAATATATATTTTTTAAATGTAAGATTTACCATAATACCTATGTAGCTGAATTCATGGACTACATTTTTTTTAGATTTTATTTATTTGACAGAGAGAGAGAGAGAGAGAGCACAAGCAGGGGGAGCAGCAGAGGGAAAGGGAGACGCAAGCTCCCCACTGAGCAGGGAGCTCACTTAACCGACTGAGCCACTCAGGAGCCCCTGGACTACACTTTTTAAAGGCAACTTATTTTTTCCCCTCAGTTACAAAAGTAGACTACAAATATCTAACCCACCAAAATAGCCTTAGTATATACTTTAGAATGTATGTAACTTGGTTTTGTTCTACTGACTAGGCCATTCAATGCAATAAAACTTTAAGGTCCAACTATTAGTCATTTATTCAAATTCTTCCCTCTAAAAATAACCACAATGGTACTGGAGACCACTTTGTTGGTAGATCACATAATTTTCAACAATGTCATTAAAATAATCAGTTTAGGGGGGCTTGGGTGGCTCAGTCGTTAAGCGTCTGCCTTCGGCTCAGGTCATGATCCCAGGGTCCTGGGATCAAGCCCCGCACCGGGCTCCCTGCTCAGTGGGCCTGCCTCTCCCTCTCCCCGTTTGTGTTCCCTTTCTCGCTATGTCTCTCTCCGTCAAATAAATAAAATCTCAAAAAATACACACACACACACACACACACACACACACACATATACAAAATAATGTTTAAAACAGTCCGCTTATTTTTTGGCAAATACAAGAGTTACTAACATTTTTAACTCTGTTGCTCTTTTACAATGACCAGACTGGGTTATTTACAGAAAATTAAACAATAGTTATTTACTTACCTTCATCCTCACTATCTTCTGCAGTTACATTGTCTTCACTGGTAATGTCTTCATCATAACTGTCCTCTGTTTGAGAGTCTGTAATTTCACCTTCTTCTGGCTCACTATCAGTCTCCATGATTTTCTCATCTTTAAATGATGTTGAATTATAAATGTTTTCATTAAGAGAAGATTCTGTAGTCTTTCCTCTAACTGGAACAATAAATTTGGGGGGACTATTTTTGTAATGAATGTCTATTTTGGCCTTCTTTTTCATATTTGCAAAATCTTCTCCCTCACTGCAGCTTATATGTTCAACACTGGATGTTTTTTGATCTTCTGAATTCAAATCCTGGAAAGACATAGGTGGGGAGGTGGGAACAAGGGGAAAATACCTTAAACATGACCATCTTCTAACGTTTAATGCTAAATGTCTCAAAAAATTAGTGAAGATATATGTACAACATTATATATGAAATACCAATACCTATTACCTATAACCCCCTCTTCCTCTCATATTCTTTCTTAATGACATTACCCATCCTCTTATCACCCAAATCAACAATCTTATAGTTATCTTTGACATCCCCTTAACTACCACATGGAATCCATTTCCAAGTGCTATAGACTGTTTACACTTTATCCCAATTCTCCTTAACTATTCCCTAACTGTCCCAGTCCAGGCCCTTATCACATATTGCTTGGACCATGCGACGGCCTCGCCCACTTCTGTCCATGTCCAACAAAAATACAATGCAAGCTATATACATCTATATGTGTGTGTGTGTGTGTGTGTGTGTGTGTATATATGTATACTTTAAAATGTCCTAGTATGTGTATATATATATGTGTGTGTGTATATATATATATATATATACATATATACTTTAAAATGTCCTATAACCACATTAAAAAGGCAAAAGCAGGTGAAATTCCTTTTATCTCTCCAGTATTTACAAAATATTATCTTTTATTATATATAAATAACATTTAATCACTATAACACTATTAATGAAATATTCTACATGGATTTTCTGTACTTCAAGACTTTCAGTCTTCAAAACTGAGTATACTGTAGTTTATACTTAACAAAACACCATAATTAGGACGAGCCTCATTTCCAGTGCTCAACAGCCATATGAGGCTAGTGGCTGGCTACCTTATTGGATAGTGCAAGCCTAGAGAATATATTTACCCTAAATTTTGTTTTTGAACTTCTAACCAATAATCAAATCAAAACACATACAATACAGAATCAACTTTAATTACAACAGCGATTTAAAGATCCAGATGTAGGATGCCTGGTGGGTCAGTCGGTTAAGCATCCAACTCTTGGTTTTGGCTCAGGTCATGATCTCATGGACTGTGGGATCGAGCCCCAAGTTGGGCTCCACGCCCAGCCTCTCTCCCTTTGCCTCTCCTGACTTGCGCACGGCACACATGCGCGCGCTCTCAATAAATAAATCTTTAAAAAAATTTTTACAAAGATCCAGATGTACCTAAAGTAGCAGAGCTACAGTTTTACTAACATTTAGTACTTTCATATAGTTGGTCTGATTATACAAAACAATTTAAAGTATAGATGAATCCATTACATCTCTTTTATTCTAAAATTCCAAATTAGCAAGCATAAGCCTTTTATTATTTATTATACATGTAGAGTAGGCATACCTTATGACAAATAAACAAATCTATTATTTTAAACTTAAAAGAATCAGTTATTTTGCTTTGGTTTGTAACATACTCTGAATTTTCTTTCTACCTAAAGCAACATGATGAAATGAATTCATATGGTCTTCTGTTATTTTATAAAATATGAGAGCATCTTAAACACATATTTTTAACAGTAGCATAAATTCAGTTTGGAGACCAGCTAAACACTCACAGTATGATAAAGTATGTATGCTCCCAGCAATACAAACTCATCAAAGGCAAGAACAAGGAAAACAAGCTGAAAAACTATGAGGAGCTTTAAAGGCCACTGTGAATTATAGGCAAAAATTCCCCTACCTGTATCTACTTAAAAAAAAAAAAAAAGCAGTTTCCAATCCTGTATATTTTATTATTATTACTGCTTATAGGAAAACATATGTGGAGTGGGAATGAGTGAAAATGCCAAAGGTGCTATTCTTAAAAACCATCTACCAGTCCAGAATGTTAGATAAATATTCATTAAGAAATAAGAATGGAGGCCTACATGTGGACATTGAGGCATATATGCATATTTCAAGTTATTTATGCCAATCTCTTTCCACCATACCCCCACTCGCAAAGAGTGAGGTTCAAGAGTATCTTAATAAAAAAAAAAAAAGATGACGATGTCTTAAATGGTCTCCCATGCTTCACAGCTACCTTTTAGAATCTTTGGGGAATTCTCAAAATCCTATCAGGATTGTTTTTAAGTTCCTATCCTAGAGTTCACACACTTTTGAAGAAGGATGGTAAAGAAGAGCAGTTATGGGAGCTAAAATCTTACAAAACACTTTCAAATTTCATTCTCTAGTTTGTCAGGAAAAGTCATTTAAGGACCCTCTATGTTCTTATCTATTGTTAGAAAGAAGTACTTTCAAAACCTATACTTTCAAATAGTTCAACTACTAGCAACAGGTAGAAATCATTAAAACAGAGGTCTTGAAAGCAAACAGAAAAATCATTTTTACTATTTAGTCACATTCTCTTTTATTCCTAGGTATGTCAGTGAAAATAAGAGAAATACAAACAAATCAAATAGAGAAAGTAAATCCAAAGGAAACCTAATTCCATATGTGAACTTTAGTATTATACATTAAAAAACTTTTCTCTTTGGTTAAGAGAAAAATATTAGATAAAATTTTAAGAGTGAAGTATCTAGTAGTTGCCACAATTCACAAAATGCCAATATAACAAATTGGCATATAAACCACCAACCTTATCTGTCTGGGGAATACACATAAGAGCACTGGTAACGTTTTTTATATCTTCCTTCTTTAAATTTAACCTTGTATCAGAAGCATTTTTTAAATTCCCCCATCTTTATGAATTACCATTTTAAGGCCTAAAGAATGCTTTTCAATTAAACATACTATCATTTTCTTAACCAATATCTTGCAGGCCATTTGAACTCTTAATTTTTTTCTGTTCTTAAAAATATTGCTATATAACTACACAAAGGCATTTTTCTTTTTTTGGATTTTTTTAAAGATTTTATTTGTTTATTTGAGAGACAGAGACAGAGCACACGCATGCACGAACATGAGCAAGGAAAGGGGCAGAAGGAGATAGAGAATCCCAAGCTGACTCCACGCTGAGCACAGAGCCCAATATGGGGCTAGATCTCACAACCCTGAGATCATGACCTAAGCTGAAATCAAGAGTCGGACGCTCAACCGACTGAGCCACCAGACACCCCTCTTTGGATTTTTAAAAATATTACCTGAAATGAGATGTTCCATTTAAAGAATATTAACATTTTTATGGTTATTGATACAAATGGCCAATCTACTTTTCCCAAAAGACACCAAGGGCACCTGGGTGTCTGAGTCGGTTGAGCCACCGACTCTTGGTTTTGGCTCAGGTCATGATCTCAGTGTTGTGGGATCAAGACCTGCATTGGGGTCCCCACAATGTGGGAAGTCGGCTTGAGGATTCTCTCTTCTCCCTCTGCCTCTCCTGCTCTCTCGCTCTAAAATAAATAAATCCTTAAAAAAAAAAAAACACCAATTTCCACTTCTAATAAATACATACATATCCTATATTTGCTAGCAACTGATTTAATGTTTGCTAACATAACAGGTAAGAAATTGCTCAACATGACTAAGAAGCAGAACTTTTATCTATGTCTACTTACAATCTGTGCTTTTATTGTGAATTGTGCAATAACATCAACTTATATTTTTTTTTTAGATTTTATTTATTTATTTGAGAGAGCAAGTGAGGGACAGAGAGCACAGAGGGAGAGGGAGAAGTAGACTCCCCGATGAGCAGAGAGCCTCACGCAGGGCTTGATCCCAGGACCCCAGGATCATGACCCGAGCGAAAGGCAGACCCTTAACTGAGTGAGCGACCAGGCGCCGCAACATCAACTTATTGGTTGAGGGTCTGACGGTTCTTCTTCCAAATTATGTAACACATGAGTATTTTATCTGCCCTAAATCTACCTCCTTCAGACTTTTAAGAAATTCCTTTTATTTCTAGTGACTAAGAATTTGTGAAAAAGTCCATCTGTGCCCCCTGTGAATGCTCCTTGGTTGATAGATTCTGATATCTTAATGGGTATGTTTGAAATACCGAGTTACTAGATGATGATTTTCAGTTTCATCAAAAACTCTGACATAATTATATCATCATTAAGTAAATTTTTAAAATTATGAAGACATTACCTTTTCCTCATTTGTTACAGAAGAATCTGGATCCTTTCTTTTCTTCTTCAATTTTTTATCCTTACTTTGTTTTGTGCCACATGTCTGATAAGGCTGCAAATCAACTCGAGAATGAAACTGGTATCGACCACTTTCCACATCACAGTAGTAATAAATTCCAGTGGAAGGATCATAATATAATTGATTTTCCTTTCAAAGTCAAGAAAACGGTAAGTTCTAGTCAGGTACGATGAAATAAAATAAAAAAATAAACTTAATAACAATGCCAAATATATTCAAAAATAGTCAATGTTTCTTTCTTTTAAGAACTCTACTATTTTCTGAAGATAATGAGTAAAGATGACAGAGTGAAAAATGCTCCTGAGTTTCCAAAATACTTTACCATTCAATATTTGCTCTAATTTTCCTAGTACAAAAAATGAATACATTTAAATATTAAATTGAATCTCAAGAAACTGCCAATATTTAATCATTTTCAAACTTAGAGAAGCAGCAATTTCATATGGTTCAACTTAATACATTAATGAAAATGATAACAAAAAACCTTTCAGAAGTCATGAAAACTAAGGCATGCATCAGAAAAAACTGACCACAGAAAAAGTAATTCCAGACTCATTATCCTTATGATTACACAATAATGGTTTGGTATAAACCCCCCCAACCCTCCTTTCAGTGTCATAAAACCAATACTTGCTTTTTAGTGTTCATGACTAAAAGCCCTGAAGAAAAATTCAAAAATAAAATTAAGCTCAAAGACAACATTTTATATACAGAAACAGACTATCTTCATTAATTAGTTCTACTGTAAGTAATAAGTAAAAGAACCATGCAAAAAATGAATTTTGGCAAATCACGGATAAAAACTGGAAAGATAAAAAATTATGTAAACGTCTGTATTTATTACATACTGGCCCATACTCTATAACCAAGATTTAATTCAACAGTGTATATTTTATTTACATTATAAATTGATGCAGATAAGATACGGAAATGTCTTATGATATACTAAGGTTAAGCAAGTAAAACTGCCTGGAAAAGAGTATTTTTCTGTGATATTACTGCAATTTATTTTGTCTTTAACTCACTTTACGGATCTCTTACAAAAATATTTAGAATTCAGGGGCGCCTGTGTGGCTCAGTCATTAAGCATCTGCCTTCAGCTCAGCTCATGATCCCAGGGTCCTGGGATTGAGCCCCGCATTGGGCTCCCTGCTCCGCGGGAAGCCTGCTTCTCCCTCTCCCATTCCCCCTGCTTGTGTTCCCTCTCTCGTTGTGTCTCTCTCTGTCAAATAAATAAATAAAAATCTTAAAAAAAAAAAATTTAGAATTCAATCTTTTCCATAACTAAAAAACTGAATGGAAGCTTTCTAATCTTTATTACCAGTGATAATAAAACTTTCACAACTCAAACTTGTTTTATCTCTTATGTCTTTCAGTCTAAAACACATTTTCAAAAATTTAAGAAAAACTATTTAATTACACTAAAATGAAAACTAGTACAATAAAAAGGGCAAAACAATGAAGTCCCTAATTTACTGAAACATATAAGCAACAGAATATAGCTAACCATTTACAGAAGAGATGTCAGGAGGAAAGATACAGAAAGGAAGGTAGAAGAATGATGAAGACTAACATCATATACTTGTGAACTCTGTATTTTCCTCAAAACCAAACAAGTAATAGCTAGTCTCTTTGGTAATAAGAGTTTAAACATTAAGTTCCTGGGTATTGATTAGCATGGTCAATTAGCATACTCCTGTGAAAGAAAATTCTCTCTTTATAAGAGATTTAGAAAGTATACCAAGTACAAACCAACAAGCTAATGAAATCCTTTTCTAAGATATTTAGTATTATCATTATATTCCCTAGATTAGTTAACAATAGTTCCAGTGACTGGAATGGTGAAAATCTGCTTCACTTTTGGGTACCACATTCGATAATTTCTGAGGACCAGATCACGTTCCTAGACCACTAAGGCTGAGGTATATAGGTATGTAAGTTCCATCGTCATTGTCATCAAATCCTGAATGAAATACAATTAAGTACCAGATGTCAACAGCCGTAACACTGAATTATAAATCAAGAACTTTATTTTTAGCTTCTGTCCTAGTTAGTGGTCCATTACATGTCTTGATTCCACACAAATTTCCCTAGTTCTCAGTCCTAATATTGATTTTTTTTAAAGTGAAATGCTTAAAAGCCACAGAACTTTTAAACTAATAATAAACATGCTATTGAGAATTCAAAAAAAAGGTTTCCTCTAGAGTTCGAATGGATTCATAAGTACTTGAAACAATTTTTAAAAACTTCACACCAAGCCTAGAATTAACAATGTCACTTCCTTAAAATTCTATGAAAAAATGTTCGTTTAAGTTCTTAAACATTTTACAACAATGTAGTTAACTATCTGCTTTTATTAAAAAATGCTCTAACATTTTTGTGTTACTTTACATATAAAAGATCAGATCTTTCTTAAGTATAAGAAATACTTATACAATCACAATTAACTTATTTAATTAAAAACACAGAAATGTAGCTATTTTACAACTCTTTACTCATGTCAAATAACTTTGAATCAAATATAATTTTTCAATGCAGTTTCTTGCTTTTCTTAATTCAGCTTAAGGTTTAATACTTGGTATCAAGCAGCAAGTATACAACCATATAACATTAAACAGTCCAAGATACTTACAGAATCATAATAGAAACCAGTGCTGTGATCAAAATACAGTCCAGTGTTCTCATCATAACTAAATCCAGTCTGAGACACAGCAGCTTCTGCTGCAGCTCTCAAACTTTCAGCTAATGAAGAACCTTCTAAGGACGTATCTTCTGCTGCTAATACAGATGCTGGCTCCTAGGTAAGGTACATTCATGTCAAATAAGACAAAAACTTCCTTCTATCACTTTAAAAGTTAGCCGAATTAGAACAATAAATAGACTTAAAACAATTTTAAACAATAAGGCTTCAATTTCTGCAATGGAAAGAGATGACTATCAATTGCAGTTTGGTTCACCTCAAAAAAGTTACTAGTGTTTAGTTAATTCAATTTAACCTAGTTTTGAAGACATTAAAAGTGTGTGACCATTACTCAAAAACAGATGCCTGATACCATAAGATAGTTATCTACAAAATACAGACTCTGAAATATTCTTTAAGAATAATTACAGGTTCAAAGGGAAAAAAAAATTTGAAAAAGAGAGATGGAGGAAAAAGCTATAGATAACGTGAGATATCACACACCAAAAAGTTATACTGAATCTTGGGATCCTGGAATTACTGGGATCCTGCTTCAAACAAAAAAAAAAAAATTATATGACACTCAGGCAAGAGTGGCAAGATGTATGACATAAAGTAAGCATTAAAAATATTTTAATGTGGGGGCACCAGGCTGGCTTAGTCAGTGGAGCGTGAGACTCTTAATCTTGGGGTTGTGAGTTTGAGCCTGATGTTGGATGGACAGATTACTAAAAAAATAAAATCTTTAAAAAAAAATTAGGGGGCGCCTGGGTGGCTCAGTTGGTTAAGCGACTGCCTTCGGCTCAGGTCATGATCCCGGAGTCCTGGGATCGAGTCCCACATCGGGCTCCCAGCTCAGTGGGGAGCCTGCTTCTCCCTCTGACCCTCTCCCCTCTCATGCTGTTTCTCTCTCTAATAAAAATAAAATATAAAAAAAAAAATTAGTATGAACATGATATTGTGGCTGTTGCCCAAATTTTTTGACTGAGTGAAAATACAGAGACAAATTTTCTTTTAGTTTATGTACATCATTAATTTTTAGAACAGAGTAGAAAAACAATTACACATATTAATAAATTCCAGTTTTTGTTTCTTAAAAACTGTAATATTCACTGTATCATTACACATAGAATGTTTATAAACCTTGTATACGTTGTAATGGGCTAAAGAAGTCTCTTTTTCTATATAACAATAAATGATACATTTTGGGCATCAAGAGTTTCATGTTAAGCATCTCATTACCTGTGAATCTGAATTTGAGGCAAAATGGTCCTCTTCTGCACATTTAACATGTTCTGTTATATCGGTACCAGTGTAAGCATCATTTTCTATTTGTGACTGGTCTTCAGAATTAAAAGTAGAAGCTTCGATATCCTGATCTTGCTGAACTGAGAGTTCAGCCACTTTATCTGGAAGACTAACATCCTTATAGTATGTCTGATAATAATAATCTGTAGCAAAAGCAAATTAGGTGATATCATATTAGAAAAATGTATACAAGGAGAAGTTAATTCCAAACCACCAGCACTGAACATAAAACAGCACATAATGCTAACATATCATATTTTTACAGCTGTATACAATTTAACGATTAAATGGATGGTGCAGATAAAATGGCAGAAGTATATATCTTCGATTCTAATGTCACCTTCAGTATCCTCGCTGTCAAAATAAAAGTTAAAAAAAAGGTAGATTTGGATTTCCATAGCAAGAATAAAAAAAGAAAACAGGTAATAGGTTTTGTTCTGTCAAAAAAAAGAGCAACTCTCAATCACATACTACCTGAATACTGTTGCATTATCAAATGACAATGGAAATAAAGATCAAGAGTTATGGGGTGCCTGGGTGGCTCAGTCGTTAAGCGTCTGCCTTCGGCTCAGCTCATGATCCCAGGATCCTGGGACTGAGCCCCGCATCGGGCTCCCTGTTCCGCGGGAAGCCTGCTTCTTCCTCTCCCACTCCCCCTGCTTGTATTCCCTCTCTCGCTGTGTCTGTCAAATAAGTAAAATCTTTAAAAAAAAAAAAAAAGTCCAAGGGTTGTTTTTACTGTCATATTTCTCTCATAATGATGACTTAAAAAAAAATATATCATGGGGGCACCTGGGTGGCTCAGTCGTTAAGTGTTTGCCTTCGGCTCAGGTCATGATCCCAGAGTCCTGGGATCTAGCCCCACACTGGGCTCCCTGCTCCCCACCGGGAAGCCTGCTTCCCTGCTTCTCCCTCTCCCCCACCTGACCCCTTGGCTTGTGTTCCCTCGCTCGCTCTCTGTCAAATAAATGAAAATCTTTAAAAAATAAATAAATAAAATATATCATACAAATATGTAATGTTAATAACAATGCTGTGTTTAGCAATTTAGTTAAATTACATACTGAATAAAACAAGGCAAAACTTAATGGAAAGATCGTTTCTTCTGATCCCTATTTATTAAAACTCAGTTGCTCAGTTATTTTACCTCACAATGTCACTCATGAGGTCATGGCTGTGAGCTATCACTCCCATAAGGGCCTAAGACACTGACATTGAACACAATGCTAAGTGGAATGCATCAACAAGAAAATACATGTGCCTGGTCTCAAGGAAGGCCAGACATGAGTAAATGGTTCACAGCACGGCAAACATTACTCAGTTAAAGTGCCACCAAAAACACATTAGCATTATTATATATTTATAGAATAACATTTCTATTTTCCCACCAGAAGAACACAGAGATTATCTGAAAATACCAAATCATATGAGAAGTCAACATAACAGTTCTCAGATCTAGATGTATGTCTGTTTTAAATTTAAAGAAAACTCCAACTTAGCATGATGTGAATGTAACAGCACTAAGATATCTTCACTATAAGCTGAATACCTGAGATTGCCCAAGCAGGGTGGTTCTCTGTTTGAACTTCTACATCAGACTTCTTATTGTCTTCATTTCTCCCACAATGGAGTATTTTACTGAGCTCTTCTACCTAAAAGAAAACACAGCTTTAGGAAATTAAATCATTTAGCAATCTAATAATATACACACCATTCTCCTGAAATTACAATAATTATTTTTCTTGAAGTTTTAGTACCAAAGCAGCTAGTTTCCTTTTCAGAAAAATTAAAAATACTATAATTAACTTTCTTTCACCTTTCACATTTGTAGAGGGAAATGTTTTTATTCTTATACTCTTGCTTAACCTCAAAATATTCCCTCCAAAATGAACTTACGTGAACTAAATTAAGAGGACTTTGTGAAGATGCTCCCTTATTTCTAACAGTAAGAATGTTTCTATACTAAAATTTTTAATCAGTTAGCAGTTCTTCCTAAAGAATTAGTTTAAAAGGGTGCCTGGGTGGCTCAGTCGTTAGGCGTCAGCCTTCGGCTCAGGTCATGATCCCAGGGTCCTGGGATCAAGCCCCGCATCGGGCTCCCTGTTCCGCGGGAAGCCTGCTTCTCCCTCTCCCACTCCCCCTGCTTGTGTTCCCTCTCTCACTGTGTCTCTCTCTGTCAAATAAACAAATAAAATCTTAAAAAAAAAAATTAGTTTAAAAAACCATTAATTCCCATTCATCAAATTAAATTATCTAGTATTATTCAGGGTCCTCCACCTGGAATTACCTATTCACTTAAATATATTAATACTCACTTGTATGCTTTAAATGCACTTTTTTTTTCTTTAAACAGAAGACAGTAGTCTTAGGACTACACAACTGCAGCAGAAAGGAAGAGAGGTGACTGCCTCAGAAGGGCCTGTCTTCCCTGTACCTCACCGTCAAAGGCTAGAAAAAATGTTCTCTTTTAGATCTTTAGATTAAAAATATAGAGGGGTGCCTGGGCAGATCAGTAGGTTAAGTGTCTGCCTCCGCTCAGGTCATGATGCCAGGGTCCTGGGATCGAGCCCCGCATCAGGCTCCCTGCTCAGCGGGGAGTCTCTGCTGCTCCCCCTGCTTGTGCTCTCTCGCTGTCAAATAAATAAAATCTTTTAAAAAAATAAAATAAAAATTTAGAATTATAAAAGGGTTTTTTAAAAGGAATTTTAAGGGGATATTTTGCTCCCCTTTCCGCATGATAGTTTAACCATATGTGTAGTCTCCTAGCAGAGTCCTTATGCATTCATTTTAAGTGTTCAAAAACCAGTTATTACACAAACACTATTTTCTATAACGTCATATTAACAACCTATACAACAGACAGAATGCACTACATCTCAGTAGTTATTTTCATAGATCATTTGATAAAAAAGCACAACAAAGTTTGCTGATTTTTCAGTGTACAGCCTTTATGTGCAGTTTTAGGAAATATACCAATATATTACAAAGGACTACACAAGTTTACATTAATAATTACAGGGAAATAACTTGTTGGGAGAGTGTAACTGCCCAACAAATCAAGCTGGAAAAAAATATTACGCTCCTTTTTAAAATTAAAAAGTGACAGTTAAATACTTATCTTTACCCCATTTTATGAACATGTAGTGTCTCTAACAAAGACAGTTTGAGCCCCCCTACTTTCACCAGAAAACTCAAGCTGGTAAATGCCCAGAAAAACAACCTGACACATGCATAGTGTTCAACAGTTTGTAAAATTCTAAAACTGTTTGTTCATGCTTAATCTGATTTAACCTTCACTTGTGTGGTACTAACACTCATTTTATGGACAACTGAGCTCAGCATCAGTTCACACACCGAGTGAGTGATAAATGGTATTCCGCTTCAAGTCCAGAGCTTTAACTCAAAAGTGATGCATAAAAAATAACATAAATGTTCCTAATGCCAAGGGAACGTCACAAGTGAGAATGAAAAGTAAGGTAATGAAGTTCACTTCCCACCAGCAGCTCGCGCACTTATCCAAATCCAGGAACCCTAACTCTTAGACTAGCTTCAAATGTACTTGGAATTATAATACACGTGAACTTTTATTTCTTTCAGATACTCTATAGAGCAGTTCTCCGCCCCTGCCAGGGAGCCCTTCCGAGGCTATCAGAGGCTTCGGAAGCCTCCCCTTGGGCTGGATGGGGCGCGGGGCTGGAGGCGGACCGCGCACCTGGGTGCGGAGCTCCTGGTTGTTGCTCTCTGCGCTCTGGTACAGCCGCTCCGTGTGATGCAGCAGCTTCTCGATCTCCCGCACCTGACGCTTGCAGCTCCGCAGCTCGCGTTCCAACTTCTCCACCTTCCGCCTGAGCTGGGCCAGCTCAGGCTCAGGGGAGGGAGGCGACGACGGCGACAACGAAGGCGACGGAGCCTCGGAGGCCATGGGGTCCAGCGCAAGGCAGCCCGTAGGCGCGGAGGGACTGCGCTCACGCTGAGGCGGACGCCGTGGGGGCCAAAAACCATGAGAGCGAGCGGGCAACGAAAGCTGGCCTCAGACCGGCCGGGCCGGCCCGGCCCCTGGCCATGACGCCTTGAAGCTCCTTGCCTGTAGCCTAAAAGACTAAGGGCAATGAGCAAGAGGACAGAGGATGCGCCCGGCCCAATCTGCCAGACTTTGAAACGGGGAAACTTTATTGGCAACTACCTTTCCCAGCAACCGAAAGACCTGGAAAAACGCTGGCGAAATGGTCGGCCCAGGGAAGCGGAGGCCAGAAACACTCTGAAGCTTCCTGGGCTGAACCGGAAACGAGGGCTTTGGTGGTGGGCGGCACCAAAACCTAAAGGGAAGCTACGGGTACTGGGAAGGGCCTTAACGGCCCATGCGCAGTCTCTCTAGCTTAGCGCTAGGGTACTTGTGCGCTTGAAGAGTCAGTTTGAAAGCCTAGCCCTGGTGATAGTTTGAAGGTCGCTGCCTCTGGCCTTGGGTTTTTGCACTTGCCTATGTCGGGGAGCAAGAATTCCAGTCTCCTCAAAGGTCCATCTAGCTGCACGAGGAATCAAATTCACATGAGACAGGAGAAAAATCAAATTTAATAGGCATAGGGATGAGGAACTCCACATAGACGTGGAAATTACAAAAATAGGCACAATGAGGTATATATGTCATTCTGAACTAAAAAGGAGATAGGAGTCTGGGACTTCAGATGAAAGGAAGGCACTTTCATAGAGCGATAAGATGGTAATTAGATGTTTGCCCTACCATACAGATGGCTCACTCAGATAAAATTTATCTCTGTTAATAACCCTTACTCTGGAAAAGACCCCAATTTAGATTCTTCTGTGTGGTTAAGGGAGGACAAAAGTTTCTCTTGAGCTTTCAGGGTCTAAAGTGACTTAAGCTCCAGATAATCCGCAAGCCAAAGTGGCGCATGGGGGCGGGGGGGAGGGGCGGTGTCCTGTCTTGTATCCCTTCACCTACTAGCAAAAAGTTTTCACACTTTTTGCAGAGTTCACTTTGCAGCTCTTCACTTTACAACACTTTCCAGATGAGAACACTGAAAAATAATTTGTCAAGGTTTATAGAGATAATGCTAGACCAGGGCTAGAACATCGTTTTCTGATGCTCTGCTTTTATTTACCATTTCTGCTGATTTCGTGAGTTTAGGCCCCCAGGAAATGAAAGCAGATTCATTAGGTCTGAGTTGCAGAGAGGAGCATCCCTGGTGGGAGAATAAGCAGCTAGATTCTGTTAAAGTAGGAGAGAAAAATGCTCTGGTTCAGCAGATTTCTTTGGTGTAACACCTGTCTGGAACTGGCATTTGTTCACCAGCCTTTAAACTGATGAGGGCCTCCTGAAACACCTTTCCTTCACCAAGGTCGATTAGAATTATAGCCTGAGCTCAAAATGCTGCGCCTGAGACCTATGGAGGTCAGTGCCTATGTCTTGCCAGTCCTTTCCCAGGGTCCAGCACTGTGCTTGTCACAGAGCAGGTATCCTTAAATGTTTGCTGAACACAGCCAAACAAAAGAATCATGTTTGGTGTCCCAGTTCAGTGTGCTTTTTGTCACTTGCCCACATCCTCAGTCACAGGCAGTGAGTCCTGCAGTGGGGAATCTCCCTTTTCTCAGTCCTGCACACATACTTTAGCCCCTAAGAGTCCTTCTACAAGGCACCTGATGTCAAGGCAACAGTGATCTAACCATGAAAGGATGTTTAGTGAGAAGACACAGCATGTCCTCCCTGATGTAAAACAGAGATGTGCTGGGAAAAAAAAATTCAGACTTGCCTTAATGCATTATGACTCTAGTCAAGAATTTATCAAAACCGTTTGAAATAAAAACTATATTTGCCACTTTCTCCACCTTTGGGGAAATCCCATGAATACCACCTATAAGGTAACTTTAAGATAGAGTGTACTTCCTAGGTCCTGTTTTTACAGATGAGAAATTTCAAGTTTTAACCTTTAATTAGCAAATGAATAAATACTTATTAGCTACTACCTGAAGCAGTGTTTCTTTGGCTTGTCTTAAAGGTAATCCATTTAAGCCTAAATTCTGGCCTCATCATGCTATTAGTCTATAACCTCTGTTAGTCTGGAAGAAAAGAGTGACAATTTTTTTTTTTTTTAAGAAAAAAGAGAGAGCCTTGTGTATCAGGAATTGCATTAAGGTTAGAAACAGCAGTTAGTCTACAGTGGCTTATTAAACAAATTAGGAGGTTATTCTATTAAAGAAGTCCAGAAACGGGCTTCCAGAGCTGGTTTAGTGGCTTCACCAGGTCTTCAGGACCCAGGCTCCATCTGTCTCTGCTCTGCTAATCTCAGAGCATTAGTTCCAGCCTTCAGGTCAATTCACTGTACAAGATAGCACTGGACAAGAAGACTTTCCCATGAGGTGTCTGGTTGGCTCAGTGGAGCATGTGAGTCTTGATCTTGGGGTTGTAAGTTTAAGACCCACGTTGGGTTTAGAGAATAATTAAAAATAAAATCTTAAAAAAAGAAAAAGACTCTTCCAAAGCCCCATTCAATGAGTTCTGTTTATATCTCAACACCCACCCTTGCTACAAGTGTGGCTAGGAATTGTGTGTGTGCGTGTATGTGTGTCTTTCTAAGCTGGACACATTATTCCCAATAATAAGGGGTTCTATAAATATGGAAGAGAGGGGGGAGTGCATGGGGTGAGTAGGTGAACAGCAGTTTTTACCAGAGGTAGTTTTCATATCAAAAGTGACTTACTGTAGTGGGCGGGGCCAGTGCCCTACAGGAGCAAACCAGCTGACACTCTTCACAATTTGATTTTGATTCTGTAATATTTTCTTAGCTACTATTTTGTACCTCAGATTGTAGTCACAGTTCTTAGTTCACAACACATTATCAACATTGGCCCATGAATGGCTCCTCTATCTTTTTGTTTTGGTTTGGTTTTAGTGTCACTCTATATCCCCAGTCCCCAGTCTCATTACCTCCTTTCTGCCAATGGGCACCCACTCTTACATGTCTGCTATATGTCTTTAAATATAAATCTATATATGTTTTGTGTCTGTATTCATTTTACATAAATAGTATTTGGGTTTTTTAAAGATTTTATTTTATTTGACAGAGAAAGAGCGAGCACAAGCAGGGGAAGCGGCAGGCAGAGGGAGAAGTACAAGCAGGCTTGCCACTGAGCAGGGAGCCCAATGTGGGGCTTGATCCCAGGGCCCTGGGATCATGACCTGAGCCGAAGGCAGATGCTTAACCAACTGAGCTACCCAGGCGCCCCTAGTATTTGGTTTTAAATCTTAAACTGTTTCTTATTTTTTCCATGGTAAAAAGATGTTTTTTAAAATTCGTACGTATTGCTATATACACATCTAAGTGCTGCATAGTATTCCAAAGTGTAAGTATACCACATTTACTTTATCCATTAGTTGTCAACATCTAAGTTATCTCCAACTGAGATATCAATTATTCTCCATTGATACCACAACGAAAACCCTTATTCATTCCACTTTATTGGCCTGTGCATTCATTTCTTTGGAATATGTAGCAAGACATGTGATCTCTGGTTCCTAGGGCAAACATTTAATTTCACTCTATTCCACTAGGCTGCTTTCCAGAATGGCTGTATGTTCCCTTCACTAAAGAGGCAAAATCTCCCCTCCACCTTTGAATCTGGGTTTGGCCATGTGATTTGCTTTGGCCAGCTGAATGAGATGATTTCCAGAACTGTGGACCAGTTCTAATCCTACATCTCAAGAGGCCCTAGTATTTCTGCTTGCTTTCTTGGATTTCTTCTATTGCCAGGAGAAGAACATGCTCAGGTGTGCCTGTTGGCCTTAAATGGGGGATAAATGACACATGGAACAGATCTGTTCCAGCTGAGATAATCCAGCTAAGCCAGCCTACAGTAGAGGTCTCAGGAAACCCTCAGACTATTGGCAATCCCAGTGGAGATCAGCCGGCCACCAAATCACCCCAGGCTTGGGAGAAATAATAAATGATATTTATTGGAAGTTTGGGGGTATTTTGTATGTGGCAATAACGGATACTCAACCTGATCTAGAGCCACTCCAGGATCCTGTGAGTTTCAGCAGGCCAAGTACCAGGGATATTCCCATATTCTGCAACAGAGGAATATTGTCAATTAAATAAAACCTGATTTATATTCAATTTCTTTTAGAATGTCATCAATTCTATATTTAATGACCATTCACCTGTCATAATTTATGTTGGATTCAATGGGTAGCCAACACTCTCCTATCTGACCCTACTGTTTGATGTCACACAAGAATATCTGGGGAGCCATAGCATTTCAACAGTTCTGATTTATTGCTCCATATTACTTTTGGTCAATTGACCATTACCTGTTTCCTTCCCCTGGAGACCTAAGGAAAGAATGGGTGCGTGTAACACTAAAACAACGGAGTGGTGGTAAAGGAAGGAAGCCAAAGGAAACGAGGCAAGCCCCTCTTCACCCCCAGCTGAAATACTTACATTTTGCACTTTCATTTTATGATTGTATAATGAATTTTAAAATTACCATATTGTAAGTTTTCCCATGCTACCCCTCCCCCCTCCACCTCTCTACACACATCCCCGATATTGAGAATGCTGCTCTCTGAGGAGAATCCATCTTCACTGGACTGATTCTAGGCCTTCAAGAGGCAAAATCAATGCTTTAGACTAGAACAGTGCTTTCTCAAACTCTATGCTGAAGGACAATTTAAAAAAAGTTCCAACTCATTGCGGATTGATACTTTTGTAAAATACAATAAAATCTATGAGTGAATAGGCGAAAATAAGGGATGCAATCGGTGTGGCTGGGCAGTATGAAAGGATTCCCCTTGAATATTTAGTTTTTAAAAGATGCAAGTTAAAGATTGAGTATTTTGTTACTTGGCTACTTGAGCAGTGCTTCTTTGAATGCTACTGGTCATCAGGTCAGGAATTCATTAGTATTAAAATTGGATAAAAAATGCAAAAGCTAGCAACCATGCATCACTGCTAAATTCTTTTGAGGCTGTTGATGGCTTGGTGGTATCCTATCCTTTTAGGCATCCTACAGCCTAAATGGGAAGGCCATGGTTTTCTTTAAAAATCACTCAAGCCAGCCTATGCTGAACCATGTCTAATTGTCCAAAGCTGGGAACACAGGTAATATCTTTGTCCCGAGACTGAGCCTGTAAGAAACTTTTATTCAAAACGTTAACTTCATTCATTTTCTCACTACCTCCAAAGATCCTGGGACTTAAACCCTTTCAGGATTTAATTTTAAAATGTGTTTTGTGGCAGATTCTGCTAGTTGTTAACCCAAT